CTCCGTGAGTGTTTCTCCCAGCTTTCTCAGAAGAGTGGCCTTCTCCTCCAGCTCCTGCACTGTCACCAGCTTGTGGTTGACAGACGACTCCTTCTGGATCTCCTCCACTGACTTCTCCAGGTCGCTGAGATGGAACAGACAGAAGGCTGAACACCAGGGATTCCTCCGCCACACTTAGATTCGACTGAATATTTATCTCAAAATCGTGATATTCAAGTTTCAGCCATGCTTTTGCCAATAAACTGTCTCTCAATCAACTGGGAACTAGATCAACAGTTTGGGCAAGCTGAACTGGACGAGGTACAGATTAGTTTTCGAAAGTTTCATGCAGCAACTGAGGTAAGAAACTTTTAAAATAGCTATATAATATGATGCCTTCAAGAAAACGTAAACTACGCAAATATAAATTCGTTAAGCGCTAATGTTGAGTTGATCTAGTCTGGTCCTCAAGACATATGATGAATAAAAATTCAGTGTATAATTAATCAAAATAATTGGCTGCCACTAGCCAGGAAAAGTACCAGACATCGATTAGCAGGGATCATCTAACAGTTCAACTAATTATTCTGAAATCCAAGTGCAGAAACGAGTGACATTCAATAAGTCTTCTTCGACTCACAGAGCGATCCAGCAAATTTTCACATACAAGACTGAAGCAGGTTATCTGATTATTAAATCTCAAGGTAGCTCTTTGCTCTCATTTTGCAGTCAGTTTAATTAGTTGTTGGACAGTCGTGTACCTCAGATCTTAATAAGCATCTTGCTCTGTGCCGGGCTTAATTATAGCGACAGCTTTATCCTATCAGTGTGTCGTAAAAGAGACATGAATTTTGCTATGTCTGATATAATTATAAAATACAAGTTAAAACACATCTTAAACTACACAAATGTCAACCAGTATATTCACCTACAGCACAGATTGCTTTCATAGATTCTTCTATATTTGGAAACCCCCTTTTTTTTAAATTATCACTGGTTTCTATCATCAAGCGTGTACTGCTCAACAACTGTTATACACTGCCAAGAAACAAATCGTGTACTGTAACTGACTGGAGTTGCTGGATGATGAGCTCCTCCTCGTTGAGATATTTGAGTCTTTCTTCCTCCACCAGGAGGCGCTGCCTCTGGAGAGGATCCTCCTGTTTCCTCAGGGCGTCAGTCACGCGCACATTCAGCTCCGCCCCTGTCCGCTTCAGCAGCGTTCGCACTGAATCCTGGTTCTCTAGCTGCATGAAAAAAAAGCCACACGTTAAAAAACAACATCACAGAAATACACATACGCTCAGCAAATATTTGGAAATTAGCTGTGGGAATGTTAGCCTTCTTGGTCTTTGGAGCATTGCTTGCTGGCGTTATGAAAGCTGCTATTTCATTTATCACAAAATAATATCACATTAAGGAGGAGAACTGGAGCTGACTAAGGCTTTACGATGAAAACTTCAGCGATTTGCAACAACTGCACACCTTTTTCTACCTTGTCCTTGAGGGGTCAGGTTCTCTGGCATCTTTACTCCATGACCTTCCACATGAGAAGAACACTTAACTCTGTCCTTTAATGTATATTAACTTTCCAGTCAATACTAGTGAGTTTTAGCCTTCATGATGTAATGAACAATATGTTCTTGAAACCACTGTGAGATGCAGCCAATACGTATTTGCATTAGCATGTGCACACAATATTGTTCTAAACACAGAAGGCTGAAATACCCTGAGGAAAACAGATGCACCAAGCATGAACTCCACTTGCTTTCAGTGTTATGAAAGGAATATTCTACAGGACTATGCATGTAACACAACTCCCCGAGATGAAATCACCTAGTAAGCAAGAAAAAATGAATAATTGATTATTCTTTTGTTCCAGGAAGTGAAGCAAGACAACAATATCGCTAACATTTATAATTACCCAGTATTCCCTGATATACTGCCAGCAGCAGTGATGTAGATGCATGAGGCCAAAAGCAAGGAGTACTGTAACACATTAAAGAAAAATGTTTAATGCATCTAGAGAAATAGCATGCTCTGCTGCCTCTGTCTTGCTCAGTTGTCTGTCTCTACTTTACCCTCTTGCATAATTCATTCACATGTAAAATTAAAGCTGTTGGCCATCAGCACGGGCGGCAATATAGGCCCAGGTGCAGAGGTCACACTTGGGCACACTGACATGCGAACAGCAAACTGTTCTCTCTTCGGTGCATCACAACCATTGCTGTTTGGCTCGCCATCTCACTGTTTCGCTTGTTGAAAGCAGCCTTGCAACTGCTCTTACGGAACAAATAAAAGCACTACATGCCTATCATCTCTCACTTCCATTACTCAATTTTTCACTCCTTTTCCTGCAAGAAACTTCACTCCTCTGAAAGTGAGAGCATTTATCTCATCTCTTTCTAATTCCTCCTGCAGTAACCATGGCACCACTTCAAGCGGAGGTAAATGAAACGCAGACAGAAAGGACTTAATTTCCACTTTTTGGTTAACTCTTCTTGTGGCTTTCTGTCTAATTCTGCATCTATCTCGACAGGTCTAAGGAGCGAAACGGAAAAGGATGCTCCAAACAAATGGTACTAGCACATCATTCACGCTGATCAAGATAATGCCAGTTCGCTTCAGTAAAAAATGGGTTTATCTCAACCCAGAAACAGTGTCCTGGTTTCTCTAAATAATCTACTCAGCATGCTGTCAACACTCTTCCTAAGGACTACTTCTTCAGTAGAAACTTGTTAATAACAACTGCTCACAAGACTGTGTAATATGCAGAGTCATCAGTAAAGTATCTCAGGCGAGGCATGCTGCTGCTGATTTTTTTAGAGCGTACATTTGCAAAGCCTTGAGCAACACACACAAATACAAATAACCATTTGCATGTCATTAGGGTAGAGGTGGGGGTGTTAATAATTGTTCACCTTTTACAATTTGTTTTGATGAGTTATACCACTGTCACAGTGAATTTACATTTCAAAATATCGCATTAATATCAGATGTCTGTTTCTTTTTATCCTTATTACATATTTATATGTATTTGTTTTTCTGTTGTGCAATAACAACAATATAACTAACAAAACAGATGAAAGAAAACATTATTGTCCTCTATAGGGAGGAGGACTAGATATGTCCAGATAAATTTTATGTAGTTCTTACATAGTGGCATTCAGTACACAACCACAGAGAGCTCGGTTCACAAACACAGAGTGCCATTGGCAGCTATGATAATCTTTTAGATGAGACAGGAAACATTAAATATAAACTCGAATATCAAAGGTATATTTAGGAACCAAACGGTGTTTGTAGAGCTAGACAATAACCAGTTTTGTAATCTGAAAGGACAAACCAATTAAAAACGTTTAATCGTGGATATTAAATACCTGGATCTTGCGTAGCTGGTTGAGCTGTTTGCGCAGGTCGCTGGCGTTTTGCTGCAGACCGTGAAGATGGAGCTGCATCTGCAAGCGACCAACGCTGTTCACCTGGATTGAGTTAGAAGGTGGCGGCGGCATCAGAGCTAGAGGTGCCGACGGTGTATTTGCTGCCAATCACAGAGCAGGAAACGGGGGTCACCGGGAGGTCGTTGGGAAACAAAGCGGTTAGTTTGTTGGGTTATGCTCCGGTGAGAGTTGCAGCCAGCCAGCATCACACAGTAAAACAATAACACAAATACACACTTGCCATAAAGGCCAAAAAATTTACATATACAGAAACTCTGGGCGCACACACACACAGAGGATATAGTGTGTGAATACAAAAAAGTCCCATATTCACAAAACTCTAATTGCCCAGTGGGAGAAATATGAGCTCATGCTATTAGTAACCCATAGAGAAGTGCAATTAGTCTATTCAGCAGTGACACACAGGGATAACCATGCTCTTATCTGAACATAGGCCTTTGTGAGTATGGCCATTGACCCACCAGATATTCTACCACATATTCACACACCCTCACAAAGGAGTTTTCCACTGTGT